GGTCTCATGTCTTTTCTACAAGTCATAACAGCACAAGTCATGTTCAATAAAATTTAAACCTATTAAATTTCTGTAACATTTCACCACATGGAGAAACATTGGCCCTACAGCTTCTTTACAACCACTAGCAGGAACATCACAATATCTCAAAGCATTTCTGCATGCGACATAATTACCCAGAGGTCTGTTCTAATTGCAAGAAGCCAAAGAATGCTGAGGCAGGCTAGCCAGATATCGTGGTGACGGGCCCAGTGTTTGGTTTAAACCCACACAACGTTTTTGTTTTGATGCTTGTTGGCATCTTGCCATATACCCACCAGCCGCACACAAGTCATGACTGTGGGCGGTGGGTTAGTCTGTGCAATCAGGCAGTTTCAGAGGTTTAGCCTTTGAAGATTACGCTGTCACATCAGCAAGCACGTGCGCTTGTATTTGTGTAATATGGGAAATATTAACCCATTTTGTGTGTGTGTGTGTGTGTAAATTACTACTGTGTGGGTTTCATACTCAAACTAAACCAACTGGCTGCACCTGTTTTGTGTAAGTGTGCAAGTGGGTGGAATACCAAAACTTAAACGTGTTTGTGGTATGTTTTTACCTTTTTCTTTCATTGTAAGATCTTGTCATTACTGCTATAGTTCATCTACTACTGAATCCCGAAGCGTGGACTCAAGGATGTTCCGCTGTGTGTTTCTCTGCCTGTGGTGGCTCTGTGACTCATGCTGAAAGGAAGCCAGGTCTGAGAGGCAGATGAAAGCCGGAAAACGCCAACCCTGCCCACCCTCTAATCCACCCACCTCCCTATTATCCTCCTTCTACTGGATGACTTCACCAAGACCATGATAATACAGCAAAAAATGCTCTCAGTAAAGAAAGAACCTCTTAAAGTTTGTTTCAATGACTTCTTGAGTGACATCTGTCCTAAAATTGACTGAATTAGGACACATTTTAATCTGTGATAGACTGGCTTATTTATGTAGCCTTAATTTACTAGAATATCTGTCTTCCTTCTTTTGTCACTCTTGTGTGTGTGTGTGTGTGTGTGTGTGTGAAATTGGGATTACCTCACAAGTTTCACTGAGGGCCCCGAAGGAATTACCATAACAAACGCATAGTTTTGTGAAGGAGGGACAGCCGTGGCAGGAATTCCAGACTTTCCTCTCTTTTTCATCATTTTATCCCAGCAGGCACTTTGAAACGCGAGGCCTCCACCCTCTGTCAACCCTGTTAACCCACAGTCCACAGCCCACCAGATGAGAAACAGAGAAAACGGTGTTGCTCAAATTGTCTGCTGTTTCTGTACTGTTGTCGTAGAGATTTTTATGAACTTCCCCTCAGCGGGGCCCTTAACCTCAACATCACCCACACATATGAGCCTATGAGTCAAATTGTAATGAATCACACTTAGCTATGACTTATTTATCAATGACACATTTGGGGCAGTTTTTTTGATGGACGTACTGTGTAGGCAGAATGATACAGATGGACAAACAAAATCTCATCTAGACTTTTATGTCAAGATGGCTATTGCATAACTACGGAAGCCCTAAGCGGCCATCCATTCAAATATTTTGTTTAGGCCTACTCCGTTTTCCCGTGATAACTGGATAATTAGCTTGTGATCTCGAGATAACGACTGTTGTTTTTCTCCTTATAACGGGATTATTTTCTCGTGATCTCGAGATAACAAAACAGGGGTCGGCAGGAACGTTTCTCAACTGTAATTTCAGAGTGATTTTCAATGTCGCTGGTTAGCTCAGTTGGTAGAGCTTAGGACTCATAGGCTACATTCAGACTGCAGGCCAATGTGACCCAAATCTGATGTTTTCATGACAGTGTGAACAGGCCCAGTCACATGGAATCTGATCTTTTCCAGTTCCATTTGGGCCACTTCCATATATGTATATTTTTAAATGCGACCTGTCTGGACACTCAGGTCGCATTTGATGCGACTTTGATGTCACTCTAGAGCAGCTGTTCTGCTGTAGATGGAGCCGCGCTGAACGAAAAAGCTCCACAAAAAGCCATAATTAAAGACGTGGCTCTCTTCCTCCTCTACCTCGCTATCATCTGCTCACAAATTCCCTTTCTTACACCTGAAATCCACCAGACCGCAAGCTCTCTTCTGAGTTACGTGCATGCTACTTGTCTGAGTGGACTCAGTGGGGGGAGAGAGAGAGAGACAGGGAGGGAGTGAGTTGTGGGGTAGTTGCGTTGTACAGCGCCAGAAACCGTAAAGAAAAGAACAGAAAGTTGTGAACACTTGTCATAATTCGGGAGAAATGTGACCCGTGAGAGGACAATGAAATAGTCCCGTGAGCTAACGGGAGTCTCCCGTGAGCAGGGTCCGAAATTAACTTTTTGACTCACCTGCCACGGGGACTGGTAGATGAAAAAATCCACCAGCCAAGCAATTTTTTACCGGCCAAATCACATATACATTAATTTCAGTACATTTAATTGATATGGTATTTTTAATGAATAAGTGTACATAGAAGTCAAAACAGAGCAACAAATAGTAAGACATGGAAGAGGTGGAACTAGCGCTCATAACAGTACATCTGCCCGTGAGCTTTCGGGCCACGGACAGTTCACACTTGAGTCTGATATGGGCCACATTTAAACAGTAATGTGAACTGTCAAACAAAACAAATCACTTCTGGGGGAAAAATTGAGCATTAAGGCCTGCAGTCTGAACGTAGTCATAGTTGAGTTCTTTCCTCACAGTAGGCCAATTAAAAAAAAAAAAAAGGGAAATGTGTGATTGGATTCCCCTGAATCTCTTCATAACAACTTTGTTGAAGAGGATGATAAAACAAGAAAAGTATCATGTTATCACGTGAAAACAACAGTTGTATCTCGAGATCACAAGATGGTTATCCCTTTATCACGGCAAAATGGGGTAAAAATAATATTTGAATGGATGGCCGCTCAGGGCTTCCGTACATAACAATAGCAAAATGCATAATACCATAAGTTTAATCCAAACATTTTATTGGCATGTCAGCAAAGCAATTTGTTTTGTCATGTGTGATGTAGAAGGCACAGCCTCAGCAGTCCCAAAAATAGTACTGATATGAGTGTGGCATTATATTGAACAGAACTCGCTTTTTGGATCAAAGTGACTCATGTCTTAGAAATCTCAGATTTTTGTGTGAGTGTGTGTGCATGCAGAGTGATACCATTTTTTTTAGAACACGTGATCGTTCAACACATGTTCGGTCATGAGTAGCACTAGACAAATAAGACGCATACATGGATGGATGGATGGATGGATATTACGTCTGCACAAACCGGAGTAATGCACATGTAAATTTCTGCCACAGTGTTCTTTCTCTGTTCTTGTATAACTTGCATTTGTTTATTCCATATTTATATATTTATACATCTGTTTATGTCAACGTCTAGCACCTTATCACCAAATTAAATTCCTTGTATGTGTAAAACTCTACTTTGCAATAAAACTCCTTCTGATTCTACTGATTAGGGCTGGGCACGTTAAGGCGTTATTATCGTGTTAATTCATTAATTAATTAACGCTGACAATTATTTGACGCTGACAATTATTTTATCGCTCATTCAGTTTGGCTCTGAATACACATACAGTCAAATCATGGGTAACAGGAGGGGTGGGATGTTGATCAGCGTGCAAATCACCCACCCAAACAAGCAGTGGAGCTTCGGCAGACTACGTTGGATGCAGCGTGTGGGAGAAGTAGGCTAGATAAAAGCAAGACAAGCCATCAAATGACATAGCGAAGTGGATAGCTCTACACTGCATACTGCTTAGTATTGGGGAAGATGTCGATATTAGGAACGTTCTTAAAATCACAACCTAGTCGCTTGGCCACGCGGGGTTGGTCTTTGCTCCGATGATCACACAGACAGTGGTCCGCGAGTAAACGGCAGGCGCTCTATGGAGAGTAAACATGCAAACGGCTTCTGTGCGCTACGCAACTTAAGTAAAATTATAGGCCACATTATCTGATAGGCCTACATCTAGTTTTGCGGGGATGCTCTGCCATGTGAATACCCTCCTGTTGATGTCCTATTTAGTAAACTGCAATAGATTCTGGAAACTCACAAACAGCGAGGATCAGGGTCATGTACAAAAAGTTCAAGACAATTCAACTTCTGCAGCTGCCGGGCGTGTGCGTGAGGCGACCACTTCACCTCACCAAACAGGGAAACTACTGAACATAGACTGTTTATGCTGGTCCCTGATAAAAGAAAAATGTTTCTGCTGATACCTGCTCAGAAAAAAACAACAAGAAAACAGATTTATATATGTTATGACGTTATGATTGTGGTTCTGGACTCTATCTAGTTTTAACAAGCTATAAAAGGTAAGGCCCTGGCAGTGGCAAATAGCTTTGGTTTTATATTTGATTGAATGCGCATCGTGCTTAAGACTCTGAGTGCGACTCATTGTGCTTACGACTCTGTGTGTGTGCCGCTGCCCAGCAAAAGTACTTCTTAAATGACGCATCGATGAAATGGAGTACTAAAATCATCGTTAGCTGCAGCCCTAATGTGATAGTAAACCACTGGCAGTGTAGTTGAAAGACAGAGAAATAGTACAGTACCCTTTTAAACAGTCTGCATCATTTAGTTCTAACTTTTTTTGTATCATTTTATATTATATTGCACATTGTTTTGGGAAGGATACTTCAAATTTGGGTTATAAATTGTGCGTACAAATATCTATTCATTCAACATAATTAAACATATCAGTCAATTTTTAACTGTAAAATTTACTGGAAATTAAATTTAAAATGTTACACTTGAGTTAAAAAAGCAATGTATATTAAATAAACAAACTGATAGAGAGCAATACAGTTATCTGTGATAAGTCAGTATCTGTTGATGTATTTTGTTCAATATAACATTCCTGCTCACAGTGTGCATACATTCAGCACATCCTCACCCAGAATGACCCAAATCTGATCTACACTTAAGTTTTATTTCCTTTAATCCTCCCCTTTTTGTTCTCCTCTCAGGAGCCGTTGGGGCCCAGTCCCTGTTCTCCATGCCACGGCGGCCTGGCTATGGCACCATGGGGAAGCCCATCAAGCTGCTGGCCAACTGCTTCCAGGTGGAAATCCCCAAGATAGATGTCTATCTCTACGAGGTGGACATCAAGCCTGACAAGTGCCCACGGCGAGTCAACAGGTAGGCTTGGCCCTCTGAACACTGTCTTTAAAACTTGTGCTACATCTTTCTCAGATACAGTATTTACATCTAGATTAAGGCAACTATTAACTGATATCTAATGTAGAACATCTTGCAGTGAGTAATTACACAGTCGTGTCAAAGGATAAATAGCTATTGATGGACATTTTGTTTAGATTGAATCTATGACCTTTTGATTCTGAGGTGGTCTCACTTGATTTATTTGATGTTAATTGTTGATTTGACAGTTTTAACATTATTAATGAAGTCTCAAACATGTCAGCTTTTTTTCTACATACAGTATAACTGAAACTCAGTTTGGTGTGTGTGTGTGTGTTGTGCAGGGAGGTGGTTGACTCTATGGTGCAGCATTTTAAGGTGACAATCTTTGGGGATCGCAGGCCAGTATATGATGGAAAGAAGAGCTTGTACACAGCCAACCCACTGCCTGTGGCACCTGCAGGGGTGAGCTGGAAAAAAGACACACATGAAAACACACACATTTTTCTTCATTGCAACCTGAATGTAAACCATGTGTGATATCTAGTGAGAATACTTACAGACACACAATCTCAGCAGCTCACCATTACCTGAACCAAAAATGACAAAGTGTATGCATACACAAAATTGACACCTGCCCTCACTAAATGCACTCTGCCTTGATCTAACCTTCTTTGTTTCCCCACTCAGGTGGACCTGGATGTCACTCTACCAGGTGAGGGAGGTAAAGATCGGCCCTTCAAAGTTTCCATCAAGTTTGTATCTCTGGTCAGCTGGCACATGCTACACGAGGTGCTCACTGGTCGCAGCATGCCTGAGCCCCTGGAGCTGGACAAGCCCATCAGCACCAACCCTGTGCATGCAGTGGATGTGGTGCTGCGACACCTGCCCTCCATGAAGTGAGCTGAAGATTTTATGCTACCTGTTTTTTCAAAAAGGTTCAGACTTATGGGTTTACTTCTGGGACAGCTGGAGATCTAAATAGATCATTAATTGTTAAGGAGTGTTCTTATACAGTAGACTCAGCCAGTTTGAGTCCAGCACGGACCATTGCCTAAGGTGCAAGGCCCTGAACCCCTAACTGCTCATCTGCTGGGTTAAGTGCAGAGGATTAACAAATTTCCCCTCAGAGTTGAATGAAGTATAATAAATAAATAAGGAGACAGCACATTTACCCTTGCTAAATCTCCCAACCTTTATCTTCAGTCAGCATACATAGAGGCAAAACACAGAGATACACATTAGAATTTTTTTCCCCCTCTGATACTGATAGTAAATGTTATATTATATTAGTTTTGTCACAGTGGCACCAATATCAGTACTCTGATCCCAACGGAAATAAAAGAAAGCTTAAATGTGCTCTCACGAGGCGTAATATTTGACCTCAAACCATCTTCCACTCTATCACTTTCCTAAGCCCCAGCAAAGCACTGTCCAGCTGAACACAATATCACCACTGCATTTAATTAAAATCATTTTCAAAGCATTATTAAAAAATGGGTATCGACACCTTTCATTGAGCTCTGTCCACAGCCCCCACGGGCCCTGTACTGGCAACGGCATCATGACACATTGTCGGTCCAGGATTCACCAAGACATGTGCAATTATTAATGTGTCTCCTGGGTAAAGTAAAATGTCGACGGGTCCAGGCAGTGTCACCACCCTCTCATTTCACTGAGTTTCAGGCCATATTGAATAGCAGCTGTATAAACACATATTGACCTACATTATAAATTCAGGATGTGTGAACTAAATCTTACATTTCCTGTCATCTCCTGCACCCTTTCCTTCTTGCCCCTTACTTGTTCTTCTCTTTTCATCCTGTCCTTTTTTCGTGACCTTTGATTGTTTTTACCTCCTGTTATATTTCATTCCTTCAATCTCTTTGCTCTTTTCTTATAATTGCTACTTTTCTTCATCTAGGTACACTCCAGTGGGTCGATCCTTTTTCTCGGCTCCAGAAGACTATGACCATCCCCTGGGAGGTGGGAGGGAGGTTTGGTTTGGCTTCCATCAATCTGTGCGCCCTGCCATGTGGAAGATGATGCTTAACATTGATGGTGAGAACCAAATTCCACCTTGCATTTATTTTGCTCCAATTGTACCTCAGGGCTATATGGCCTCACATCTACAACAATGTAAATGCTGTTTTTATTGCTAACACAGTAAGAACTCTGGCTGATACTGCTGTCCATATTTCAAAATATTCAAATACAAAGATTTGATCTTTCTTTTAAAAAAGAAAAATTCAATTGTCTTCTTTTGTGCAGGCGCACAGAATTTGTTTTCTCTGTGCCTCTTTCACAGCAGGGGAAATGAGATTTTAATAATTAAACAGATAGATTACAGTAGACTGACATTGAGCCCCCATGATACAGGCTATTTTTAGTGATTTGTGCATGATCAATTTACTTTCACTGATGTTATGTTTGAGGAAATGTAATAGCTGTATTTAACATAAATCTAACTTGACAATGTCATGCTCATGAGAAAGCTCTTTCACTGGAGCTGAATGAGGTCTGCAAGATATACTCAAGGCTTTTTCCTCATCGTGGAGGCTGAAACTGTTGTGCTGTGCTGTGGAACAAAATATTTTTTTTATGAAGTGGAACACTTCCCATGGCCCAGAGAGTGAAACTATCTCGCTCTTCGTATATGCTTGCATGGTCTTCCTTCTGTTCAGTATTACCCTGTTATGAGTAAACTTTACTCTCCACTACGTTTGTTTATACTGAATGCAAATTTCTTTTCTAACAATAGATGTCGTCATATCGCACAGCCCTAGCGTCGCTCCTGCTCAACTCACTACTTCTCAGAAAGGAGCCAGTTCTGCTTCCTGAGAAACAGTTTTTTGTAAATGAATGGAATAGTTGAAGATGTAGTTTGGTAATTGGCTTTAGCACTGGACTCTTGTCAGTAGAGAAACTCTGTTTGAAGACCTGAAATAGTGAGCTACAATTTAAGTCCATTATTATTTGTAGAAAATAAGTGCCACAAAGGATGGTGGAGAATGCAGGAGACTGCGGGAGGTTGCTTGAGACCAACGAACTTGGAGAAAGTTGGGTTCTTGGCTGGATGGGAACGGACTAGTCGGTTGCTGTGGAAACAGAGGGCAGCTAGTTTGTGTGTGTGTTTGTGTGTGTGGCTGTGCCTGCGTGAGTGAGACGGTGGGTGTTGCTGGGGTCAGGAGGTTAACCGTGTGGAGCATTTCCTTGAGACAGCTTTTGTTTTGCTCCAAGTGCTTGAAGCCTCCGTCTGTATTTGAATCTTTCCCTCCCTACTCTCTTTTGTTTCATTTTCCCGCCCTCTCATCCTTGGAAACCGGTCAAGTCAATTGGTCGACTGAAGTCTCTTGTTAGCTGTCCAGCAAGAAAGTAGAACTCAGTGTTTTGCAAAGCATTTGTTTTCTAACTCATCCGTATTGCATTGTATATTGGCAAAGCAAAATATTATGCCTGTTTGAATACATGCGCATAAAGGCAACAAACCCTGCTTCCCACACTCTGTGTAATGTGTTAAATATACCAAATCATCAATCAACAAATTTAGGTTGTCCCTGGTAGAATTATTCCTGATGCTTTTCTTTCAGTTACTTATTTAAATTAATTGTTATTATTCCAGCTCTCGTGGCTGTGCTGTGTTGCTTATTTAGTGTGCATGACTGTTTCTTGTTTTCATTTTTCTCTTAGTAGTCATACTATGTCAGCTGTTTATTGCTGCTGTTCGGCTGGTTGTCTTTTACTATTATTATTATTTTATTGTTTGTTTGTTGTTGGTTTTTCTCCTCCCCAAGCCCCCTCTCTGTTCTATTGCAGGTTTCATTGCTTTCTGCAACTGGTGTTTCCCACTGCTTTTCCCTGTTGTCCCCACCTTCCATTCCCCTTCTCTTACAGGTCTTGTCCTTTCTCTGTGCTGTCTGTTTGTGCCCCCTGTCTGACCCGGTGACATATCAATACACAATTAAATAAATAATAAAACAGACAAAGGAGTATATTAATACTCTCTTGTTAAAGTAAAATCTGTCTGGCACAATATGGTATCCAGGTCATCATACTCTATACCAGGCTGCTGGGCAGGACAGGTTTAAAATAAATAAAAAAAATAAAAATATACCAAATCATTGTAATCATAGAGAAATGAGACCATTAAATTTCATTTGCATGAATGACTCATAATGCTTCCAAACACACAGAAGTTAAATGACAATGCGTGGGGAAGACAATTAGGTGTGATGTCACTTTCTACTAGTGGTGAAAGGCTCTCACGTCTCTCAGTGCAAACCAGAGGTGTAAGAGAATGTGTGTACAATTCGGTCATCTGCCGTCTTGTTAGGATGTGCGCTTGCAGAGCAAAGGGAACTTTGTGCTGCTTGAATTGCACTATCCGTGTCAAATGAGTGATACATTTATTTAGCATAGTGGGCTGACTACATAAACATTATGTGATAAGCCTCTACAAGGGCTTCATAATAGCTACAATGTGTGTCCCTGTGTCACTTTGTTGTGTGAAAACTCCAAAAGCAGGTACCATTTTGAACATATAGTTTACATTTCTGTTCGGTTTCTATTTTCAGGCATGCACCCATCATGTATACCATCCAATTTAAACTGTGATGTAACTGCAGCCAGTGGTATAACAGTGTTGCTTTATAGACTTTCAAGTTCAGTGAGTGTTATATCTGGGCTGCCAGCTCTCACGCATTGATCATGAGGCTCACTCTCTCATACCACACGACCACTGTTTAACACAGTGAAAAAATCTTTTTTAAAACTGATAACATTAATCACCTTTGCCCCACTGATTGAGTCGCAGACAGTTTGTGACTAGAGTGGTTTTAAAATATGAAAGTTAAGTTTGGATACATGAAGGTAAAAAAAATTATGTACCTATCTAAGCCATTAAATTGTGTGCCATAGAACTACCAGTCCTGTCTGATGCACATTTACCACTTTTCTGACAGAATGATTAAACTAAGCATTTTTTCAGGGGGAGGCCCCCCAAACCCCAAATGTCATATCCTTGAGATGAAAATTTGAAAAATTAAATCACCAAAAGCACCCATTTACAATTTATATAATTCAGTCATACCTGCTCATATATTTAACCCTCCATATTCTCCTGAGGGTCCCATTTTTCAATGCCACTTCGCCCCTATCCTTATGACCACATTTAAATGATTCCATGAATTCACTACAATGCAGGAAAACGGTCTCTGAAATTAACAATTTTCTGGAGAGAGATCTCCAGATACCCTGATTATTAGGTTTGGTCTCCCGATTTAGGTTATAATGTCTGGAGGTCCAGAAAGTATGCTGATCAACCATACTTATTTGTCGTTGACCATGATTATTGATATGGCTTTTCATCTATACATATTTCAAAATTGTGTTTTGTCTGCTGAACTGAACAAAATTCCTGGGGGTTGAGGAGTGAAGGCCCCCAACCCCTGAGGTATACTCTTAGACTGCAACTTCAGCGATGCAGAATCTCATTCCAAACTAAATTGAAAAGTTGGCAGCCCTGGTTATAATATATTGTTGTTGTTGTTGTTGTTTTTGTGTCTTAAATTACTCTTGTCCTTGCTTTATATTGCAGTGTCTGCCACCGCCTTCTACAAGGCCCAGCCAGTCATCCAGTTCATGTGTGAAGTGCTGGACATCCACAACATAGACGAGCAGCCCCGCCCTCTCACAGACTCACACCGGGTCAAATTCACCAAAGAAATCAAAGGTGAAGATGGGGTGTAAAATGTGCCTGCATGTGAGAAAGAGTGTTAAATAAGACAAATATTATTTCATTATGTGTGGTCTAGAGTTTGAGCAGGAACAGTGAGAGCACACGTTGCAGCCGACACTTCCTTAATGCTGCTCCGACACTTTATTATTCACCAGGTTTGAAGGTGGAGGTGACACACTGTGGAACCATGCGGAGGAAGTACCGCGTCTGCAACGTGACCCGTCGGCCTGCCAGCCATCAAACGTGAGTCAGCCTCCAGGCAGGCGAGGGAACAGGACACTGGGCAGAGTGTGTGGATGGGGTGAGGGTGGGGAACACAGACCACAGAGGATGCGATCACCAATTCACCACCAAACAAACCAGATAATGGCTGACTCATCTGACAACCATGCATTCAACATTAGTCATAGTGAAGTAGCCGTTGTGTGGCTGCTGATCTTCAGTGTTTTTCATCCAGAGGAGAATACCTTGCCGTGTGTTATCCTTCACATGGCGTATTAATCCCCATATAGCCATCAAAAAGGATGGTCCATACATATATGCCAATGTGCTTTTTATCAATATGCTGTTCTCTTATAATACTAATTTAATGATATTTGTTCAGTGATTGCTACTCTCTTTTAAAGTGTTGTTAAAAGGTGCTATGGCTATATTTTATAGCGACTGACTTACATTCAGTTCAGTCAGTCTAATTTACTTTGCCTAAGTGGCAGTGTAGTTTTTGACATTTCTCTTTCTCTGCAGGTTCCCTCTACAGTTGGAAAATGGCCAGACTGTAGAGCGTACCGTAGCACAGTACTTCAGGGAGAAGTACAACCTGCAGCTTAAGTACCCACATTTGCCCTGTCTACAGGTGGGCCAGGAGCAAAAACACACCTACCTTCCCCTGGAGGTGAGAGAAAACAAGTTGCTATTCCTTATTTTTCAATTTAAACACAACTCCAAGTATTAAATCTGCAGTTTATGGTGTATTGGACAGCTCCCAGGTGTGCTTATATATAAAATGTAGAAATAACCTGTAGAAAAAGCTTAAGTATGCCCAGAAAATCATGACAAAAATATGATGAAAAATACATGTCACCACCACGTTTGCCTTTGTTTTCTTGCAGGTGTGTAACATTGTAGCTGGTCAAAGGTGCATAAAGAAACTGACAGATAATCAGACCTCCACTATGATCAAAGCCACAGCTCGGTCTGCACCTGACAGGCAGGAGGAGATCAGCAGGCTGGTGAGTTGATGAATCAGGAACTCACCTTTCACTTCATAGACACCATGTTTAATATACTATACATTCAAAGCTATGACACTTGCATACTTCATCAACTTTTTTGAATAAGCAGGCTCTTGAAAAAAGTAACAGTCGTTAAAATTGTTACATTTTTATATATATATATATATATATATATTTTTTTTTTTTATTGATAGTAAACAATAGAGTGACTAATAGTAACAAATAGTATTGCATCGTATAATAGTCTGCATCATATACTTATCATACTGTCCTTTTTCCGCTGAAATGTGTCTAGTCGGCACACAGGCATTTTTTTCTTATGTTGTACAGTGCTCCAAGCATGCACCATCATTCAGATGGTTAGGTGTAATTTATACTGTACATTGTTGACCGTTAGAACCATCGTTCAAGCTCTAACTTTAAAGGAGGTGGGTGTGGAAAGAGACAAAGCAAAATACTGCCTGGATTGCTAAATTTAGGGCAAAACACTCTCTGTACCTAGAAATGATCTCATATGCAGAAATCATAGCTTATTATTTAGAATTTCTGAGCCTTTAACAAGTTATGTTGACTTCAGCATGTTAGCTTTTGATAGCCATTTAGTTGGACATCTCTATTAAATGCCTGCGTTGCTAAGCTTGTCAACACTTGGTTGCCATGCTGTTCATCTTGATGTCAAATTGTTTGTTTTGTAATCACCTCTCCCAGATTCTCATTTTATATTGTTAACGGAGGCATGTCTGCCTGCATGTCCATTGCATTTGGCAATTACTAGGCCGGGTCAAAAAATTCCAGAGCCGTAATGGCTTTAACATGTGCATTTGGCTGCTGCAATGTCTACAGCGTTTTGTTTATGGCAAGATTGACACACTGTACGCTCCCTCAGGCAATGATAAGATTTGCAATGCACATTTAGTACCTGGTGTTACCTTATTAAACCATGTCTCCCTATCTCTTCACTCGAAATTACTGGACTTGCTTAGGAAATCATTTTAGACATCACTGTGGTGGGGTTTTCATTTAGATACACAGTTGCTTGAAAGTGTGGGTGGAATAGCAGAGGTTGAGAGACAGACAAGGACAAAACAAGCAGTTAAGCAGTGTCTGTCAGATGGACATAATTAATTCTATAATAAATTTGGATATCGTGCCAGCTGGGCTGATCATGTACCCTGTGCTTACAGCCACTTTGGATTAGGATGCTGGCACATGACATTTTGTTGCATATTACTGATTCAAATTTTTCCTATCCACAAACCTCTTGTAAAATAATGAAAACAGTAAAAATGCTCACTGCAGAAGAAGGATAAAGGAAAATGAATACCCACACATACACCTGCAAGTACCCTAATGAGGCATTTTCTGTAGCAAGCATTGGCATAAGGTATAAAACAATGAGGCAAGCATCATAGACATCACATTTTTGTAATATAATGCCCAGTGAACCAACTGCTGCACTTCATTCTTTAAGAGGAATCAGAGCTGTGTCACAATACACAAATTTTGTTGTACTGTACAACATCCGAAAAATAATTGTCCATACTGATTTTTGTATGAATTAAACAAACGAGATATAATGTAGAGTTGAACAACTAATCTAAATTGTATCAAACTCGCAAAATGGCCTTCTACAAATTGCAGTATGTGCATTATTTGTTATCGTAAATGTCAGTCAAAATTCCATTTTACGTTAAATAGCTACCTTACCTTTTAAGCAAAATAAACCACACAATGAATGAGCAGGTAAAGGAAGAAAGTAGAACACATGGCTACATACATACACACGCACACTGCTAATGGTATATACTATAACCTTTCAGTACTGCAATTGTCTCTAGTCATTAACAACTGTGTTGTATCCAATTTTCTCACCCCCTTTTCCCTGCAGGTGCGCAGTGCCAACTACGAAGCAGATCCTTTTGTACAGGAATTCCAGTTCAAGGTGCGAGACGAGATGGCCCACGTGACGGGGCGAGTGCTACCCGCCCCCATGCTGCAGTACGGCGGCAGGGTGAGCACAGAGCACTTTATGGTACCCTTCCTTTAAATCACGCCCATTCTCTGTTTGTCTGACACGCTCTCCCCTTCCTCAGTTGTTATTCCACTGTCTCTAAGGGGAACTAACTCACTCGCTTCGATTTGTACTTCATAGTGTCAGTCTGTATGGCTTATTTCGTTGTGGTTTAGTCTCAGTAATGAAAGATAAAAAAAAAAAGTAAAATAATAAAAATAATAAATAGATAAAGCAGATTGCTTTATAAATTTTGATGTGTTTTGAGAGAGAAAACAGGGCAGGAAACATTGTTGTCCATCTGCCACAACATTTGCCTAATTGTTAATTTTCTTTGGTGAAGTAAAGAAGAGGTTTCTGACAACTGGACAAAGAAGCAACTTATTGAGACTGAACCACGGTGTTCATTAACATCTGTCTGTTTATCTTCTCTGAGGAGACATGCCTTTACTATTGTACATTTCGGTGTGTTTTACTGGGAATTATGACACCTTTATGCACTGTATGTTGTGCGCAATACACACCAAATTGCATCTTATTACTATAGATTCCATCACACAGTGCATCATGCTATCTTCACATGAAAACCCACTTGATAATGTTTGCTATTCGATTTAGAGCCTGACCGATTGCCTGATATGGGCCTATGACCGGTATCTGCGTGCACCGGGGGGGGGGGGGTTCTGATTCAATCCACTAAAATGGTAGCTGTAGCATGAATCTCATAGCTGGCTTGACAGAGTAGAGAATACGTGGTTTAGTAGAGAGCAGTATTAGAATGTAATTAAGTAAATTTAGTCAAGGACTGTACTTTGCACGGTTTAAAGGTATCTGTACTTTACTTCCAAGGCATTTTCTGCTTCTTTATACTTCCACTCCTACAGTTCAAAGGGAAATACTGTACCTTTTACTCCACTGCAGTTATTATTTTGCAGCTGTAGTTACTAGTAGTAGTACAGTACTCCTGTTCTCTGTCTCTATCTAATCTCTACATTTAAAAATGGCCATCTTAAAAATAAAATGTTAAAGAATATTTAACCTAAATATTCTTTCAATAAAATTATTTGTTCAAGAAAGCAGACCTTGGAGTACCTCTGCATAATCACAATCCACACAGATAAGGTCTATTTTAATTTTCAAAAATTCAATATATCTGCCGCCATATTGGTAATCAGTGAATCTTTCCCCTCTAAAATGAGTATTGGTCTCAAAAAATCCCGTCATAACGGTCAGACTCTAATTCAGTTTGAAAGTTAAATGTTTCTCTGGTGCAAGTGCTTATTTCTTTAACTGACAAGTCTGATTTTCTGTAAACAATTGTTTATACATTTTGGTATGGATGAAGAGTGTGTATGGGTTCTGTGCGTTTTTAGAAAGTGTGTGTTTGTATCTGTATGCGAGTGTGTGCACACTTGTGTTTCTGCCAATTCAAATGTGAGTCCGTATGAACAGTATGAATGTGAATGTTTGCCCACATAATCGTGAGTACATGTGGTGAGACTGCAATGTTGTTTCAGAACCGCACTGTAGCCACACCCAGCCATGGGGTGTGGGACATGAGAGGGAAGCAGTTCCACACCGGGGTGGAGATCAAGATGTGGGCCATTGCCTGCTTTGCCACACAGAGGCAGTGTCGGGAAGAATCCTAAAGTATGATTATTTACATGTGTCTGTTTTCCTGAAAAATGTTTTTAATTCCTTTTCTGGGATTCTGTCATCATTTTGCC